TACGATACAAGAGTGCGGGAATTAATGAGTATGTAAATGCGTACTGGCCGAGAAAGGTCTGTCGAATAAAGTATATGACACTTTGATGCTGTGATCGCCATCGCAGAATAGTTTCCCGCAAAATACGAGATCGTGTTTGAGACGCGGTTCTCAAAAACATTGATATTCTCCGTAAAAAGTATGTTAAATATTTCTTATCTTTCCAATCTTTCATCGATCCCGCATGTTTCAGATTTACATATCAGAATGACAACCTGATCGTTAGCATAATTAAGCACAAAAATAATAAAAGATTAAAATATGCAATTTTTTAATATTTAATATTACATGCTTTGTTCATAAATAAATAATTAAGCTTCTAAATAAATTTTTGAAAAATTGAGATTTGCGTGAATTTAAATAAATCTTACAATTTTTTATTGTTTAATTGCATTCTGAAAATTATTGGCTTTTTATTCTTAATTATCTACAAATAAATATCAATTTAAAAAATAATATTAAATTAATCAACAAATGTGCAATTAAAATTAAAAGCCAACCTTTTGAAACATTTTATATTTGTAAGACTTAGAATTGTTCGTAATTTAATTAAGTACATGTGTATAGTACAATACGAATTACAATGATGTCTGCGAAAACAATCTTCTCATCTTGTAATTACGACAACTACAATCCCAGACGTTTATTACGAGTCAGGCTCATCCGAGTTGAAACATTTGAAAATAAAAAGAAAAACTCTGGGCGCGCGCAAAGTACATCATGTAAATGCAAACCGCGTCGACGAGCGCGACGGTGTAGTAATTTAGGTTTACAGAGCAAGCGAATTTAATCGAGGGCCCGCCCACGAGTCGACAATGAGGCTCGTAACTTTCGGCGGTGAAGGGCGCTATTCTTTTCGATTTGATGGGATTACCGGTCGACGGGTCGACCCGTGTCTGCTCCGTGGAGCATGTCACAATGGCGAGCCGTGGCCGTCATGGACGGCGCCTCGAAAAGCGAGAGGGACGAGATCAAGAAAGAAACGATCGCACATTGTTCGCGCACGATCCAATGCCGTAAACGCACGGCTACCGTAGAAAAGTGGAATATTTTCATCCGTATGTTTAATTCCACAAACGTGCCCGGTTAAATTCCTTCGGCGATCCATTCAGCGACTGAATTCCACGCTCGACGTTTGACTCAACGACGAACCTGGTTCAAGATTGTCCATAAATCTCGACGAAACGTGCGGGAATTTATACACGCGAACGAGAGAACGATGCCGAAAGACGTCTCGCCACGCAATTTTATGTACTACTCGCGGGGGGATGGTTCCCCATAATTCGAACAAGTAATAAAAATCATGCGTGTCTGATGATTTTAGTGCGCGCGCGCAATCAGCATTAAAGCCGTCTCTCGTGATTTCTTAATAATGAAATCGCCTCGGCGATCACCCGATCGTAAATATTTCGATATTATCGCGACGTCGTTACTCTCGCGTTTACGATTTCTGCCAAAACACGCGTAAATCATCGTCGCTGAGTCGGATGGAGCGGACAAAGGATGTAATTTTATTTTAATAAAATCGTGATCTATAATTATGTTTACACGAAGAGTCGCGCGAGAAAGGCTGCTGTGGAATACATACTGTTGCCCTGTTGAAAGGAGTAACAAACGTGTTTTACTTAATCATGAGTTTAGCGACTATAATTTCGGGATCGCATGATGATAAATATCACTCTCGCGTTGTGAAAGAACACATTTGTCATCGTGTGTCTTTGCCATATTTTTTTTTTTTAGAAGGAAAATGTTAATTGAACAGGTTTCGTTACTTCTATAGATCCTGTCTGGACAAATATATCCCTGTTAATTAGCGGTTTCACCATGCATCGGTTGAAATCGAAGATTTCGTATGCGAATTTTTTCATACTAATTCTAAACAGCAATAAATATCAACTGTAAATAATTTTTTCTATGTTTATAGAACATTTTTCGAGATAAAATAAATCTTCCAAATTCATTTTTTTTCTCAGAAATTAAACGACTTAATAAAACGCAGGATATATAAAAGAAGCTACTGGAGAAATAATTTGCAAAATATTTACGTTGCGATTGATTTTATAGTTTACGTATATCGCTTACGGCGCGCGAATATACGTATCGCGTTACAAATTTCTGCTGAAGAAAGGTCCAAGGTGCAATGTTGCAAGGTGCTGAATCTAGACATACCTATGTATATTCGATGCGACACTGATGCAACAATAAGATGTTAGTCTTGAATAAGGCTAAATTGGCAAATAAAAGAGCAGTTTTGAGTGAGTTATTTTTTTTTATGACAATGCACTGCTTAAGAAGCTGTTTTTTGTTCAGGAAAAAGATTTTATTGAACAAATATATCTTTTCACGTTGTTTATTTTAATCAATGAATCAGCAACATAAATTAATGCTTTTCATGAGTCATTATAATAAAAAACGAAAACTATCGAAAAGTACTTTGTTTGAAATCCTAAAATCCGATGTGTGTTAAAAGTTTATACTAATTCATAATTTCTTTCGTATGTAGATACACTTAGATTACCATAAATATGAGATGTATACACAGCTCGACACACTCTCGTTTACATTTAACAATCTTTCGCTTTAATCAAAGTTTAAAATTAATTGGTGCAGCTCGTTTGCTTATTTATAGTCTGAAGAGTTTTTGCAGCAGGCAGGAATTATGGATCATAAATTACATTGTATAATCTGTCTCAGCTTCCAACATTATATACACTTCAACCCAATATATAATCGAAAAGCAATAATTATTGTCTTATTTACAATGAAATACATAATATGAAATTTGTTTAATTATGAAGATTGATTTAAATGGTTTGTGTAAATTATGGGATTGTACAAAATTATTTTTTGTTCCCGATTAGATTCATATTTAACAATTTATAAACAAATAGAGATATATATTTGTTCTTTAATCAAATTATAATTTTCTAAATAGTACAATCCCAATATTGAGCAGAAATCAATTAACTATTGGAGAACTCTCTTTCTCCGATTTATATGTTAACATCCAATTCCCCGTGAATTCTATAACCGTGAAGAGAAAAGGCGCCGCGCTCAGCATCCATTTGCCATAGGATTTTAGCCGCGGATAAACGCAAACGCATAGCCGTGTAATCACGCGTACGATTACGATGTTCACCGCCACCAGCGTCGCGGCTTCGGTTTACGGGGTCGCGAGGAGAATCCTGAATCGTGTGACGAATCTCGCGGCACCGTGTCATCGTCATCACGATGCGTCACAAGGCGTGGAACACCGGCAGACGTATACGCACCATGGTATTTATTGTCGCAGACGGAAATAAAAGTAATGCGAGAGTATATACGTATACGGCAGGCGTCTCGACTGCCTGTGTGACATCAGCCCCTTAATCAATCCGTTTTGCATGATGATGCATGAAGCGCATTCGGCGAATGTCTCGCGAGAACGTTCATCTGGGTGTGGACGCGACAAACGTTGCCCATATAAATCCTTTTGTCAACGCATCGTGAAATCTCGATTATCTGAGCACAGTTTAATGATACAATATTTCGCTTGATTCAACATTTGATTTTGGCAATTTTTATTTTTTTTTTACTTTTTTTTTGCACAATTATCTCACCAATTTTATTTCTTTTTGTAACTTATTCTTCTTTGCTAAAAATGATTGGATTTGAACGCGATCAATAAACCTTCCTGTGCTATGACCTCGCTTTTTAAAGCGGTCGATAAATTTTCCTGCGGGCAAGCCACTTTGGTACCTTACTGCTTGTAATCGAAAACGAGTCGAGGAAATAAATTCGCATAAGCGTACGTCAAGTGATGATTACCGAGAATGAAACCTATGATATTACGCGATCCGTGTGCATTGTATACAAAGTATATAAAATCATGCATTTTCTCTCGATTATATATATTCGACAAAATGAGACAAATTTGTTTCAATGTGAAAACATATCCATTTGTCTATTAAGTTTGTCTATTATATAATAAGAGTAAATATTATTTTTGTATATTAATATTATTTTTATTTTATACATTATAGATTTATTTTTATTGTATATCTTTTTATGTACAGAATTAAAGTTCGCATATATTGTATGTAGTAATTATTCCTAATAATCTTAATAGCATGGGCGAACGAAATTATCATTATGATCGTCGGGATATACCGGTATTATTACCGATTGTTACGTCTATCGTAACAATAAGTACAGCCTTGTCTCTTTACGATATATCGCGGCGGATTTCACGGAGAATTGTTCGAAGAAAGACGAGCGGACACAAAGATTCCATGCAAATCCGGTAGGCGCAAAAAACTTGGGATATCATAAACGTAACTCGCGAAGCTAGGAATATAACGTATCAGCGATAAAGCGATATCCAACCGATTCTCTCGCGTATTTCAATATTCATGGTGAATCTCAGAATCAAGAATTATCAGAAGGCAGTATTGGAATATCATTACGTCTATCGAAAGTCCGATCACCGTGTTGCATAAATTTCGCATAAAGTTTTAATATATATGCTTCCTTTATATCTGTCAGATTGACAAGTATTTTCATCGTCACGGTGCGTTATTCTATCGGAGAATCGTTCCTCTCTAAGAATTTTTCATAACAAGAGAAATGTGAAAAACAGAAGGAGATATTTTTCATACATTCTTTATACATTATATTGAAATTTTTCTCCTTTATTATATAGAATATTACGAATATTTTACTTCTTGATTATAAATCGCCAATTTATTAAAACAAATCAATGTAGCTTACTTGAATTAACATTTCGTCAGAAAATGTGTTGATAGTAATAAATATAACGTAGATATCTGAAAAGGTTAATCAAATTAATATTTGATACGAATCGTTCATAATCTAGATTGATGTTTATTTTTATTATGACGGTAGAACGCATCAATGAGACATTTTTGGCCGCGTAAAGTGTTTCTAGATCGCTTTGATTACCGTTTTGCATCTATGTTTAGATCACGTTCAGCTGGCGACGATAAACTAGGTCGGATTAACGCGCTTCCTTGAGTAAGTTTTCCATTCTTTACTAAAGAAGACTCTTCTTCATGTCATCTTTTCTTATATACTTCATAAATACCGTGGACTATCGGATTCTAGCAAGCACCAACCACGATGATATTGCAACAATCGATACTCTAATAGAGTATTTGGCAATATGTAACATTCGTTACATAACGTTATATTGAAATGCAGACGGTATATGTTATTGTTTACGGACCAATCTGCAATTTAATTATTGTACGCCGCAATCTCCGATTGGGGATGTAAATACAATTAGTTATTAGTTATTTTCACTGACATTTATTTGATCAAACATTGAAAATTGTACATATGGTGAGTTGAAAATGTGGAATAGAGAACCATTTGACTGTCAAATACCACACGTGATTGATGTGGCATTTAAATCAAATAATAATAATCAATATCAATTTTATGATAGTATTTGTCGGAGAAAGTATTGTATCTCCCACTTCCTCTTCTCTCGAAATTATTTCAAGGTAAATATATATTTTACAATCGCAAGTTGCCAAGCGTCAGGCGTCAGGCGTCTCTCATCATATACGACAAGTAACGAGTTGCCTGAATAACTTGAATGCTTGTAACCGGATTTCGCGGATAAACGGATTTTCCGCATACATAGCGGTTTATTGCATCGCGTTACGCGCGTTTTATCTCACGGTGGTTAAATTACGTTGTGTCACCTTGATACCGACATATTAGATACATGTTGGAATGCACTTGTCAAAATTTTACGCGAAGAAAGCAGTTTAGCGATAAAAATACGATCGTTCTATAGTACCCGATAGATATCTGACTTGTTATAAGTAATGTATTCGAATTTTTTACTTTTATCAGATGTGGCGATTACTTCTATGGACACACTTTCTGCTGCTAACCGTGCTGCTAGCACCGGTGCAGAAGGTTGCAGCATGCAGCTGTGCACAGGCCCACCCTCAAACCAAATTTTGTGAATCGGATTTCGGTACGATTATAATTTTATGGTTAATAACATTTTTTTGATATCATAAATATTATATAATATGAAATATATAAATTTTATGATCTTATTTTATGTAGAATGTAATATCTATAACTAACATATTGATGTTTCACTCTTTCGATATAATAACATTTCAATGGAAAGATTTTGAATATCTAATACAAAAGTACGATAATTGTAAATGTTCTTCGCGATAAAAATATTTTATATATCAATATCTGTCTAATGTGTCAGCTACAGCTTTTGTAAAATATGAGATGATTACGCACTAAATAACAGCGAAATTCACTTTGCGGCTTTCGTAAAAATCGCGGTTAACGACACTCCTTTGTCACAGTCGCTGTGGTGAGGGTGAAAAAGGTGCTCCCCGTGAACGAGTACGAGATCGCTTACAAGGTCAAGATAAACAGGGTCTTCAAGGTGTGTATTATGTGCCGGTGAAACGTCACGTGCGCAAGGAGACATTCGTCACGTTCATCGCGAAATGTAATCCAGTAGTTTAATCATACGTCTTTTCTTCTTCTTTTTCACCCGCAGTCCAACCCAAAAGCCGACGTGGCTCTGATGCAAAACCTTTTACGGACTCCGTCCTCGGACTCGATGTGCGGCGTGACACTAAAAGTCGGCGAAACGTACGTTCTCAACGGAAGAATCGTCTCGGGACAAGCATTCATATCGTTCTGCGGGCTCTCGATAAGATGGGCCGATACGACCAGTAGGCAACGCAAAGGATTACGACAACTCTATCAACAGGGATGCGTGTGCGACGTAAGTATTGGATTATTTTATCCGTGAGATTTCAAATTAATCAATTTCATATATTAATTTTTTGATACTGAAAAAATCGCGTATCTAAAATTTAAAGTTTTAAAATTTTAACTTTCAAATTTTCTTGCCAAGGATGATGGTTATTATAATCTTTCGAAATTTGCTTGTTTTTTATGATATAATACGAAGTATTTTCCATGACTATAATTAAATTTGCTTACTATCTGCGTGTTTGAAGATGAGGAGACTAGTATTTTTTCAATAAATAAAATTAAATTGAGGAGAGACTTATAAATCAAGTGCAATATCAAATATTTTTTCCGATTGATTCCGTGAAGCTCAATTCACGTAAGGATTAAAACAATAAATCATTTACGCTATAAATCTCTGCCGATTTTATACATCCGAGAACGCTTCTCAAAAATGGAGTGCCCTTTCCATGACTATAATTAAATTTGCTTACTATCTGCGTGTTTGAAGATGAGGAGACTAGTATTTTTCCAATAAATAAATTAAATTGAGGAGAGACTTATAAATCAAGTGCAATATCAAATATTTTTTCCGATTGATTCCGTGAAGCTCAATTCACGTAAGGATTAAAACAATAAATCATTTACGCTATAAATCTCTGCCGATTTTATACATCCGAGAACGCTTCTCAAAAATGGAGTGCCCTAAAAATATACATGCGCGAGCGGCGGGCTGCTGCACGAATGCGCATTCGTTCGATCATAGCTGACTTCTGCGAAAGAGTCGCGAATTTATGCGACTGAGAATACAAAATCGCGAGAGGGAGCGTGAAAAGAATGGCCTGGTTTTTGTATCGCAGATTCTGTATACACACTGGAGGCGCAAGGGAGCCGTGCTAGAGTCCAGCGGCGGAAAACGCTGTCTGTGGGAGAGCACACCAGGCCCCCAGGATTGCCAAGAAAAATATGGCGTGTGCATGGCGGTACCCGGTGGCTGCTCTTGGATACCCTCGGTCCCGTACAAAAATTGCATCAAAGAATATCAGCGTCAACGCGATCAGCAGAGGTCGCGGGAACCTTAATCGATAGCGTGTTCTCGCGACGGCAACAGTTAAATCTATCAATCTGTCGTAAAACGCGTGCCTGTTAATTAATTTAATTGAACACGTCGAAGATAATTGAGTCATTGAGAGGCAAAATGGTATAGTTTAATGGTACTAGCTTAATGGAAAATTCAACGGTGTATTATTACACAGAGAGATGCACGAGATTAAAAAAATCCGTTCCTTGTTTTTTTCCTTTTTGCATTATTTATTAAAAACAATAATATATTTAACGGTAAATTTCTTCTCTACTTGATACTTTTATACTAGTATTTTTGAATATAAAATTTGTTTAAGAAAAATAATAATATGTTAGATTCTTTTCAAACGGAGAACAGCTTGGTAAACTTGTAAACACTTTACTTGAGCGACACAATTATGTATGTCGATTATTAATGATAATATATTAATCTTCATATATTAATTTTTATAGATTTTTTAGATTTTGATGGACTTATCGTTTGTTAAATTACTTGTAATTTAACAACAAAATCAGGTAATTTTTATAATTTTATTAACTTGAGATATTTACTATAACAAACAAAGTAGTTGATTATTGGTAGGTCTAACTGATGTTAGTGCAATCGATTCTTAATTATTCGATTATTATTAACGTGAGATAAGTTTGCAGCGTTTAAGTATTTACTGTGAATAGGTCGTTGATAGCCGATGTGCGTTTTGTTACTGAAATATATATAAGCGACCTACTTTCACGGTTATTCTGTCTTAGCAAGTTGTATATATTATATTGTTAATGTATATTGCGCATCCCCTTAAATTATTCAACTATCGTTTCGTTGTACGTAGAATCTTAGACGTTATATAAAATTTTACTCGTATTTTATTATATTTCGTAATATTTTTTTATGTGCGTTTTTAGATTTAAATTAGATTATGACATTGCATATATATTTGTTGTTTACACGGATTATTATTTACGATTGTCAGATGAAATCAAAAGCTTGGAATGTTTGAATTCATAATTTTATAATTTTAAACGTAAAAGAGAGATTTTTTAATTATATTGTAGGCACATTTAACATTTGATTTCAATCATTGTTGTATACAATGGCAATTTTTCTTTAAATAAAAATATTTTAAGTGGATTAAAATTTAGAATAAAATCAGAAAAATATGCAAAATTTTTATAAATTTTTGATCGAAAGAAGATCGAGAGATGAATTTTGTATGTATGTTTTAATTTAATTCTCTCTCTCTCTCTTAAATGTAATAATTTTATAAGTGTTATATGTGACATGTAGAATAAAAATAAACGAAAACAATTGTCCTTACAGGCATGCTTTGATTAAAATATGTTATTTTAGACGATATTTTCCTGATGATGCATTCTGTTTATCGGGTATAATATTTTTCTAACGATGATTGTTTGCGTTTTAAAAGAAAAAATAATGTGTTGAACAAATATTCATCAATTGATTTTACTCACCATTTCACGATGATAAGGATAATAACTCTGTTCGATCAGGGGGAAGCTGTCTTTACCCAAACGACGTTGTAAACCCAGCAGGTGTGCAAATACCCATGGTTTGTCCTATTTCGTAGAACACGTAGTAATTATTGAAAGGTTCGATCATATATTCCGTATAAAAGGGATATGTATGATAAAATCAATAGAAAAGATATGTATAGCATTGGGTGCGGAATTTTTCGCACATAAAGAGCATATATTTAAATTTTTATCATTTTTATCATTATCTTTAAATAATAATGTCTGTATTCCAAATATAGAATAAAAACCTTGCACTTTTTTATGTAAAAGTGAAAATAGAAAAACTATAATATAATAATAAAGATAAATGTTACCTGGAAGTTGTAAATTGCTGTAAGATTATTAACGCTGGGTACGCCGCCGTACATCAGACCCAGAAGGAGATTTTTATAATCTTCTCCAGCATCCCGCAGATTTTGTCGTATCAATACGAAATCAGGCTTGAAGGATCTAATGACAAATATCAATTCACATTTTCTCTGCTCGATGATAGTGATACTTTGAACAAAATTTTCATTTCGATTTCGCGTAATTTAGATTATTATTTATCATTATATTTAAAGAAGATATGTGTATATCAATATTAATTTTATAAATTTTAAAATGTTTAATTTATTTCTCAATACTTATTTATTTATTAAAGTGTAGACTGAATGCAAAATTATATTAATCATGCAATGTCGTTTAATGCTAAAAAGTATTGGAATGTAAAAACGCATTTTTCTGTTTCTCTTACCGAATGACTTTGGTCCCGTTACGATAGACAGCCATGGACACAACGGTGCCTGCCTCGCTAGCTGTAAGGGACAGTTCGCGAAATTCCGCCTGCTCCACGCGAATCTCATAATCGCCGTGCAGTCTACGACCCCGGAAATATTTGCTCCAGTCGGTGTTCTGGTCGTCGATCACCAACAGAGTGAAGCATCGGTCTTTGCTGTATGACGGGCCTCTGGTTGCGCCAGATACCGCCGCTCCCAAAATAGAAGCACCCTACACGTCATTTTAACTGTCAAACACTGTAACACTCTGCTTTCATAACCGTACAATATAGTGACCAGCTACACGCGAAAGATATCTTGACTATAATTAAATACTGACATGAGCAATATATTAGTATATTTAACTTATCAGTATATTTCGAGAAAAAAAAAATTCGGATATTTGTTTGTAAGGCAATACATTTAAATCGAAAGCTATCGCGATATTTTAGAATGTTATTGATGCAATCAGAATAATATTATATCTCTGCTTTTTGACTGTAGTTATAATAATGTTGAGTGATAGAACTATCGTTTCTCGTTGTACCACACTCAAAAAAATGTCTTGCTGATATATTTGCTGTGGTTACAATACCACTTTTTTGAGTGCAGCCAATTTCTGTCAGGCAAAAGTGTTAGATAATAAAAGCAGAGGCTAAAATTAACTTGCCTGGTCGCGAGCGGCGCCGGTTAAGCTCTGCACTCGCTGGAGCAGACTCTCCCGTGTTTTCGCCGGCGAGGACGGCGCGCTGGTGGTTCGCGAGCCAGGTCTCAGGTTAAGACTGAGATCGCCGCCGATGGGCTGCGGCGGTCCCTGAGGTGGCGCGCCCGGGATGGGCGGCTGAGACGGCGGCGGTATCGGGCCCGGTTGGGACTGCAAGGGTCGCTCCGGCACCGCTTGATACGGTTGAGACGAGTCCTGCCGACCCACGGTGGCCAGCCCAGGATCCGCGTTGGGCTCATCGTCGAGCTCCGAGCTTAGATCCCCTGACGAGAACCTGGAAGACAAGCTATGGTGGTCGTCGTGATAATGACAATCGGTCGGAAAGACCGCACGCTTACACCGTCGTGTTTGACTGCGCTAAGTGCACATCGATCACAGCCATTTGATGGGTTGAGGAATATGGAGATGATGTCGGCGATGAGATCGGCAGTCACTAATCGGCCGGTGTTACATGCTTGGCGCGGATGTCTATTTCAGCTAAACAGTCACGGTGCTGGAAGCACGAAGTATGATGACATGTTCGTTGTTTTTATCTGTAAAAGGACCTTTTTCCCCATGATAAGTGACTTGTTTCGCATGGAATAAAACGAGCACCGAGGCGCGAACGATGCAAGGTAACCACACGAAACCACATCGTTGCGCATTTACGTCATCATTGACTCACATTGCCAAGCGTCCGTGTGATTTCTCGTCGTAAATAAAAGCGGGCGAGATAAAAGACACGATATCGCTGATGGGGAGAGGGATAGCGGCTTTATGCTAACGTTGCCAGGTGTAAAGCAATATTAACGCGATGCCTTGATATCGTAGCGTGCGTCCAGGCTGCTGTATTCGGGGCAATGCTGGAAGCGGTATTTTTAACGAGCCACATGCATACATTCAGATTTGTCGAAAACACAAAAACCTTGGATTTATTAATTATTATAACAATATCAAGATACTCTTGTGTTAAATAATAACTTTTTTAACGCTTTACTTTTAAAAGATAGAAGTTCTCAAAAATAGTAATATAATTTTTTCTGATATATATAAAATTTCCCTTCTCCTCTTTAATATTAACAACACTTGGCAAAAATGTCGCAGAATGTTCAGAGAATACCGATGTTTCTTACTTTTAGAAATTCTTTCATTAATTTATTGGTATAGATCTTTTTTATAATTTATGTTATATAATTTTAGTTAATTTGTCTTTTTTTTTAAATATATATTCTGAATGGAAATATATTAGATAACCGACGAAAAGAAAATAAAGATGAGACAGAAAATAGCGTAGAATTATTTTTAAAATACACATTGTAAAATAGCTATAATTTCAAGAGAATATAGAGATTATTCTCGTATTAAAGCAACAGAACTTGAGTTTACCTAAAACCACAATATTATTCTCAAACTCTGTTTTAAACTTTCGCATCTCACTTTACATTATTACTTCGCTACTCGTTGGGTTGGAAACCCTCGCGTCGCGTTTCAGTGACTATCCCAATTCTCAACACCATAACTTTGACATGTGTTGCTGGTACGGCGCTTGCTTAACGACCGACTCAGGTAAACTCGCTCGTATCCGGCTAATTGGACAGAGAAATTCATTTTCCCATCACGGGCACATTACGAGAGCCGGTGAGAACCCATGGAATATTGAGATACGGCGCATAACGTTTTAACATCCAATCATTATCATGTGTATCCTGATGTGCGTAAATAATACGATATAAGAAAATCGATGTAAGAGCTACTGATAAAAAAATTCTGCCCGTTTCGCCGATATACGTGATACATAAGCTTTCATCAAATATGCCTTTTAACATATTCACATATTCTCGAGCGAGATGGAGCGGATGTTTATGATCAAAATGTTTTCATATTAGAATTTAATTAAAAAAATTTACACTTGCACTTTATCCGATAACAGTATATGAATGCTAACCGTAATTACATTAAAAGCGCATTTCCATAAAAATTATATTAAAATGAAAATATATAAAAACGCTATTCGTATATCTATAAATTATCTCTTATATTTATTATCTAATATAATGTTAACAACGAAGACCGAATTAGAATAAATTGTTTGTTTCATTTGCAAACCTTATTATCTATGCAATTAAGAAATTTTTCATACAAGAAAATTGGCGAAAAATAATATAATATAATCGCAAAATTTCGGATTATTTATATAAATTGTAGATTCAGGCTGACACTTTTCAATTTTTCTAATGTTATATATGTGCGTGTCAATAAAACTACGTAAGATGCATAGGATGATTTCAATTCTTCGAATGTATCAAAGAGTACCGTAAATTAAAGAATCACGAAATTCTTATCGGCTCGACTTTAAATGCCAGCCCTGAAGTTCGGATCCGATGTGACGGCGGTACTTCTAAACGACTTACCTCCGTTTCAGGTAGTTGACATTGGAGGTGAAGGACTGACGAAAACTGGAGAATGAAATGTTGCCGGGTGATGGAGCTGTACCACAGTACTTGGCGCAACCGCCGCGGCCGGTAATCTTGATGGTTACACCGGGCTTGTTGCTACGATGAAACGACTCGCGGTTTCGTCGCTTAAACCGTTAGTCGCGATTTGTAGGATAAATCCCTTTGGTTCTCTCTGTCGTCACGACTGTCTTGTGCTGCTAAGATGATACGATGTCGCGACGCGTGAAATAAGTCGTTCGTTTGTAGATCAATAGATCGTGTCGATGGATCCTGGATCGATCGATGGGCGACTCTCTGCTTGATGCCTCGTGGGATAAACTTCAACGTAAGGTAATCCGAAAGGAAAGGATGAAATAAGAGGAGGTTAGGAAGGAGAAAATAAACAATCCAAGTTGAAATCTGCAACAAGTAAAGGGAAAAATTGCGCGATTGAATTTGCCAGCCGACTTTTTGTAAATTGCAATTGCAGAATTTTTATTAGATAACAAACAAGATTACAAATATATACGAATATTTATATTATTTGGATGCATTGTATAAATTAAAATATGATTTTATTTTTGATATAAAATATTTATGCATACAAAAAATGCTTCACTGTTTGCATTAATTTTACGATATTTGAATATGAGGAATAAATATACATAATTGTATATAAAATTCTACAATATTTCCTAATTTAATAAATGTAAAACTAAAATTAATACAACTATTTCTACACGGTGATATTTCATTATTCAATGCACATCGATTTTATCTTCTGCATCTAAATTTGATTTATTTGATTTACTCGAATATTGAATTCCACAGAACCGAGTATTCAAGTATAGAAATACGCGTTTTGCGTTCAGATTCTTTAAAACTCTAATACAAAAAGCTCTTCCTTTTCGATTCGAGTGGTTTAAATGAAACGACACATTCGTGTCGCGAACAACGTACTTTTATTGCGAGAAACATCTCTTTGTAATTGGGTTTTCTAGTGTATCGAGAACGGTAAGGTAATATCATAAAACAGACTCGTGTTTCTTTTACTTGTATCACGTCATGCTTCGTGCAGACTTGCGCGTATTATTACAGTAATAAAAAACGCGTTAAAAAAACTCGATAAGGATTTAGTTCTTTTAATGAATAATTCAGATTAAATATTGGCGCAGAAATATGCAAGAAACTCCAATAAAAATTTATGAGATTGACATAAAAATAAAAGAACGACTCTCAAACAATATCTAGTCATGTAATTTAAATATTGATTGTTCTGAATTTATTAAAAAAATTGTTGATCATATATTTCTGTTTTCTCTTCTAAACTTATCGCTAGCAATGAAGAGCGTTTCGGAATCACGTATT